CAGCTGTTCTTTCAAAATCAAGTCTGTTTGACTGGGTGGCTTCCTTTACCCTGTCCATCTCCAGATCATGCTGGGCACATGTGAGCGAGCCACCCCTAAGGCAAACACCACGGTTTATGAGACAGCTCTATGTGTTTTACAGGCATAAACTATTTTAGCCATCACCATGGTGATGTGGGGCAGATGCTATGCTGTTTCCGTTTTATAGACAGATTGTGTCCACTGCATTTTGACCTGGCCCTCCAAACTAGAAATCTCAAAGGCTGCTCCTGGTCTCCTGGGAGTGCACCTTCTCAGTTCAACTTCCAAATCGTCTCCTCTCTGTCACTTCCTCCCCAATCTCTCCACCTTACAGTGTAGTTTCCCTTCCTCTCTTGCCTGGACCATGCTGCATTGCAGTTGCCTTGGTAACCTGTCCATACCTCTCCCCTGGAAGACATGAACTGCACCCAGGGACTCGCTCAGCCCTCCGTGCCCCGCGCCTGGCTGGCAAGAGGCAGGTGCTCCGTGAACATCTATGGATCGAGTGAACGGGCTCCTAAATCCACTGCCCGTAAGGCAAACGCTGTTGAGGCCACCAGCCCTTCCCCACCCTCTCTTTCCCTGCTAAGAGATCCTTGGTTTGTTTCTTCGGCAATGTGTCCACCGAGAGAAGAACTGGGCCCAGACTTATACTTAGAATCACCTACATTATTACAACTCCAAGCCCAAAATAGTGCACGGGACAATTCATGCTAAATCCTTATGCAGAATCTGTGACTTCTAAAAAGAAAGTATTCATTGTTTTATCTGAAATTCAAACTTAATGGGGCTTCTTCTATATTGCATTGTGATAAAATATGCATAGCGCAACATTTACCATTTCAACTACTTTGAAGTGTGCATTGAGCAAGCAGCACATTTTGAATGCGGTGCTGCCGTCACCACTGTCCAGCTGCGGAGCACAGATGTACCAGCAGAACTCTGGCTCCAGGGCGCTGCCCCGACCACTCCGAGAAGGCTGCCCTCCTGCATAGCGGCTGAGGGCAGATGAGGCCTCTGCGGGGGACAGAATTCATCCCCGCTCTGTCTCCTGCAAGGGCTGGCAGAGAATGGGAAAGTGCTCTGAACTGAGCGTGTGTCCTGATGACCTGCACTTTCCAAGGTATTCTCATAACCAGGGGGAGCTGCAGGACTGGACCATCCCCCTCCTGACATATTGCTTATGTCAAAAAGTACGACCCAAAGAATCAGAGATTTGAAACAAATAAGCATAGTCAAGTGGGCAACATTTAATGCAATCTCTGTGCAGAGTTTAGATTGTGAGTTTTGTTTCTACTTTTATTCTTTTTCTTTGCATATATATATATATATACACATATATATATTATAGTTTTAGATATAGATGCTAAAAACTTAGTTGTTAAGAATGCCAGCTTTAGCTGGAGATATAGCTCAGGGGCACAAGAGCCTGCCTGGCAAGCACAAGGTCCTGAGTTTGATTCCCACTAGCCACAAAAAAGAAGAGTGCCAGGTTTAAATTCAATGCTACATGTTTAAGTCCCACCTCTACTACTTCAAGGGTGTGACATTATTCAGTTTGCTATGTGCCTGGCACCATGTTAAGCATTTTCTGTAAATTACTTTATTTGATTCCCAAATGCAACTTTATGTCTGGGAACTGCTGGAATAGCCATCTTATATATGATAATCCCAAAGCACAGAAAAGGCAAGCAATCTACCCAAGATCATGCAGCCAGCTAAGCAGCTGCTGAAGCTAGGGTTCTTTCCTGGGCCGAGTAAGTCTAAACCCCTAACCAAGACTGAGTCCTGGGTTTGGCCTTGAGAGATCTGTACCCAGCATTAGTCGAGGGGCCAAGCGATGAAAGGACACGAAAAGCTGAAGGGGCCCCCAGATTTCCGGTCTCAGCCAGACCAGGGAGAGGACGAGGCGGGAGCCCAACTGTCACTTACAGACCATGTGTGCGTGACTGCACGCGATGTCTGGGCTGTGTCCGCCCGTGGCTCACTGATCAGAGCTCAGCTGACATCAGCTCAGTGAGCAGAGGCGGAGGTCTCGGGGGACGGGCTGGAATACATGCAGGGCTGGTCTGGAAAAGGTACCAGGAAGATCCTAGATTTCCAATGACTTTCCACTTGGCAGCCAGCCCAGGCAGATTCCCAGGAAAGCAGCTTGATAACAGGACTGACAACTTCCCACGTTTGTCAATATTTGCAGAGAGGGGTGGAGATCGTAAGACAAGATAAATACGCGAAGCAAGTCCAGGGCCTGACGGCGAACACCTCCCGTGTGTGTGCGGAGGGCTGCTGCTCCCCGTGATCTGCTGCCACCAGGAGGCGAGTTCTTGCACCACGAGTTCTGCTCTTTTGAAGACCAGCTGTTACCTCCACCCCGGGCCCTGGCATGGTTTACCATTCTGCAATCACCACCCTGAAATTCTTAACAGTGTTATTTTTGAACTTAGGTTGAGTAATTAAATCTGATGGGATAATGGGGCATGCGTGTAAGATGCACGCAATAGAGGTGCCCACACACATGCTGCCCCCCAGCAGACAATCCCAGTGACTCCCCACTCAGAGGTGTCCGGCAAGCCTGCACGCAAGTGACAAGTGCGCGTGCTGCGTCCACACCCGAGTGCACGGCGCCGGTGGCCCTGACCGTCCACGCTTCCCATTCAAGCCAGAAGTGATCTCAGAAAGGGAAAGACGGCGATGCCTTCTAAAACTGCAAATGGCAAAGGGAGCCTGTCCCTCCCTTCTTCCCCTGGCTGCCCCCAGTAAGGACCTACTCCTTGTGCTGACAGTGATAGCTCAGAACAAAAGGGAAGGACGGACACCCAGAGGACCCCTTTCCTCCCATCCGTCCTGCTCATCAGTAACCAGAAGGTGCAGCGTGCTGGCGGGATGTGTAAGTGTCTAAGAGCTGACCCGGGCCCGGGCAGCACCTCCAGCATCTCAGTAAGAGCAAGGTTCAATTGCACGAAGCAGCTGCAATGCAGGAGCCGCACTGCAGTGTCCCGCACACAAGCGCACAACAGTTCAAACGGGCACAGCCTGACATAAACAGTGCAGTTCACACTGACAGTTTACATCTTTAGTTTTTCTTTACTTAGAGTGACTTTGAAAAACAAAGCGGGCAGCGAGAACATGAAAGTGGGGTGCTGCTAATGCCTGTAACAATACTTTCCCCTGCTTTGGGAGCAAGGTCTCATCATCTTTGTTTCGCTTTGGGTCCCGTCACCGCCCTGTCCTTCAGCATGGACTCCACCCGTGAGCCCTGGGTGCCGAACCTGCCAGACCTCTGCCTGAGGGATTTTTTTAACTGTCTAAACCATTCATTTCCCTAAGGCTCATATTCATCTATAAGATGGGTATAAAGAGATGTACCTAATATAATGTAGACCCAAGCGAGACAGATGGATACCAAAGTCTTTGCAGAGTAAAATGCCATCTAAGCAGGAGTTCCCCCCCGGGAGAATTTGAGATTTCACAAGCCAGATCGGCCAGGAGCAGCGGAGATGCCTCTGTGTCAGACAGAAGGCCACCCTGGCTTCTGGTGAGGTGGGAATATAGGAACGGATGTGACGTAAACACACAGCAGAGCTCCCAGCCTTGGGAGTCAGTGGAATTGCAGGGAGCTCATGTGACTTGGTCGTCATCCGTCCCACAGCTGGTCACGCTCTGAATGAGCCCAGGGCCACAGCCTGGGCTCCTGACCGTCAGGGGCAGACGGCCTGCACGGCTCTGTGGGCGCTGTGTGTGATGCGGCAGCTGCTTAATAATCAGGTTTATCACATTCCAGCTTTAACTGGACAGCGCTGAGCTGGAGTTGCATTTACAGCCCTAATTACGGGCGCCGAATGATGAATTCAGCATTCGCTTAGTGTTTGTGTTCTTTAACATTGGCTCCTGAAAGAGGCCTTCCCTGCTCCTTTGTTTCCATGTCCCGGCTGCTACGGCTCTGCTTTCATAATAAAGACGGTGCTTGGTGGCCCTACATTTGTGCTGTGGGATTTTGTGTTCTGTGCGGATGATCCAGAGAGGGTGGGGACCCAGCTCCCTCACTCATCTCGTCCCAGGTCTCTTTCTATCCTGGAGCTCCATGAGCGTTCGTGATGAGCACCTGGCTGAGCGTACGACTGAATGAAGCCACGGTAATTACTAGTTTACATTCCACTCGAGTGTGTTCTCCTGCACACTGAGTCGTGTGAGCGAGGCTTCCCTTCTGCACTGGCTGTTCGGGAGCTCAGAGCTTCGCACCCTCAGAAGCTGTGACGCCTTCAGCAACTCCGTAGATCGACATGCACATTTATCTTTGATCCTGTTCCCGCTGGTTTGCTATCCTGTTCCCACTGGTTTCCCCTTGCTTTGCTATCTTCTGTTATCTTTCCCCTTAGCCTCTCCTACTGTATTGCCTAGGTCTCTGTCAGACACTGTAATAAAATCTTTGCTGGAATTAAGTAAACTAAATGGGGGCTGGGGATTTAGCTCAGCGGCAAAAGCGCCTGCCTGGCAAGCGCAAGGTCGTGAGTTCGGTTCCCGGTACCGGAGAAAAAACCAAAAAAAAAAAAAAAAAAAAAAAAAAAAAAAAAAAAAAAAGTAAACTAAATGGTCTTGAACTTGTGGCCTCCAGAGAAAGAGAATGCCCCTGCTAATGTCATGTTCTGTCATCAGAGCAATGAGCCACCCGAGGTTACCCACTCTCCGGGCTCCAAAGCCTGTGGGAATCAGGACTAGGCGGTGCAGAGGCTGAGATCTTATCTCCCCCCAGTGAGATACTTGGGTCCTGGTGGAGGTAACACTCTGGAATAAATGAGGGTGAAGGGCAGTCAGAACTGCAAAATCTCACGGAATGTGTTTCCCTGCTCTGACCATGACCCCTGGTCACTGGGGAAGAGAGTCACAACCCAGTTCCACCTGGGAAGGATTGGAGGGGGGGGCGGGGGCAGGACGCCTGGAAGCCAGTGAGGCGTTCAGGCAGGAGCACGCAGGTGCTGGATTTTTATTGGCGAGGCAAGGGCAGCCCGAATGCGGGAAGAGAACCTGTTTCTAGAAGACCAGCAGGGGCGAGGTCTCCTCCCAGCTTGTGTTTACCCTGTTCTGTGTATTCAGCCAGCAGGCTCCGGACAAGGAAGCATAAGCCGAGGAGCCAGGCTCAGCAGATAACCTGGTACTGGGCAGCACCGGCAGGAGACGCAGGACCCTGGGCAGCTCCAGGCGACACCAGGAGGCTAAAGAGACTCCCACAAGGAATTCAACAGGTAAGCGCTTTCAGATCCTCAAAGCCTGGCTCCAGGGTCTGCTGTTTGTGGCAGGTGGTAGAAGGCAGTGGCCGGGGCTCAGAAGGCTGAGTCTGACCTGAGCTCTGTCACGTATTCACTGTGTGCCTTGGGTCTGTCTGGGTGGGCCTCAGTCTCACCATCTGTGAGATGGATTCAAAGGTAACACTTCTAATAGGTTTTAGTTTTACAAAGATTCAGTGAGAAGGTGGGCAGTGTTGGGTCTGTAGCAATGTAAATGGCTTCTGTCTGCACTGGACCACTGAGAGTCCTTGTGGGGGTCAGGCATGGGGAGAAGTCAGAAAGTGGAGGGGTACAGTGGGCAGCTGGGGACGGCTGTCGGTGAGAATCTCTCACAGCCAAGCAGACTTAGAGCCTGCACCTTGGGGAAAGACTTGTTGAGTAATTCTGTACATCTGTCTCCTTCCACAAAGCACACCCAAGACGACCCTGCAAGGCAGGTGCCGGGTTCAAATCCAGATGCCTGGTGCAGGATATATATGTCACCCTCAGAGCCACTTTCCTGCCTAGCAAAGCCATGAGATTAAAGGGTAGGATGCTGGAGCCAGACCTCCAGATACCGGACTCAGCCCCACCCCAGGCTGGCTGGGAGCCGGGCAGCTTCCTTCAGGCCCCAGGGCCTCTGTTTCCCCTTCTGTAAAATGGGCACAAAAGACAGAGAACGACCGCAATGCCCGAAGACATCTAGGCACCCTGGGCTGTCGTTTTGCTGCTTGCTGCTTCTGACGTCTCTATCTTACACCTCAGAAAATGTGGCTGAGCTGGCAGGGGATGGAAAGTGGTGTCCAGGTCCCCTAGGAAAGGCGGTTGGAACCGGGTCCCCCCAGGATGGCAGGCGGGAGGGAGGCACATGCAGGAAGCGAGGGAAGCCCCGCAGCAGGCCTGAGACAGAACAGAACAACTGCAGTGTCGTCATCCACGGTATGCAAAGTAGTCTCCGTGCAGTCAGTAAAGGTAACATCAGGAGCAGCATTTACTTGGTTTTTATTTGTTTTGTTTTTTTTTCCGGTACCAGGAATCGAACTCATGACCCTACGCTTGCCAGGCAGGCGCTGTGCCGCTGAGCTAAATCCCAGCCCTCTCGTTTGGTTTTTTAAAAATGGGTTGAGCCGGGTGTGGTGGATCACGCCTGTAATCCCAGCTCTCGGGAGGCTGAGGCAGAGGGATCGTTGTGAGTTCGAGACCAGCCTGGGCTACAAAGTGGGCTCAAAGCCAGCCTGAACTGCATAGCGAGACCCTGTCTCAAAAAGACAAAAAAATAAAAAATAAAAATAAAAAATGGGTTGAACAATTCATCTTGATGACCCAGGCCTGTGCCTCCCCTTAAGTATCTCACCTGAGGCCGGTGCCTCACCCGCCTGACCCAGCCCTAGCCCTGCTGAGAGCGGGGTGACTTTGAACCTTGGCTTTCTCCCTAAGTAAAAGACGTGGAAAGTTGTTTCGCCTTGCAGAGGAGCGGGCAAAGCGAAGCCCAAATCACAGGGATTCTTTTCCCTGCAGTTCTAAGACTCCTGGAGTGTTTTCTTTTTAGGAAAAGGGCCTGTGCTTTGAGAAAACAATGAGTCCACTGAGGCGCCTCTGTCCGGGCGGGGATGGCGGTGAGAGATGCTCAGGGAGGGGCCGGACGGCTGTGCGGGGCTGGCTCCCCGCTGGAGGATGCTCAGCTGTCCTGCGAGCGCTCAGCACATCACCGTCGCGGTGTCACAGCCAAGCGCTGCTGCGCTGCGAAGCGCTTCCGGCTGTTTTTTGCATGTTCGCTATTTATTTGGTTCGGTTGTTTGGTTTCGCGGGTTGCGGTACTGGGCGTTGAACCCAGGGCCGTCACGTTGAACTACACCCACAGTCCTCCTTCATTCTGAGAATGGGTCTTGCTAAGCCTGCGTTGCCCAGGCTGGGCTCCAACTGCTGAGCCTCTGCCTCAGCCTCCCAGAGTGCTGGGTTTGTGCCTGAGGTCCGGAACGTGGGTTCAAACCCCAGCTCCGCCCGTCCGTAGCTTTTTCTGACCATTAGTCCTACTTATCCATGTGAGGATGGGATGGCAGGCCAGGACTCCGCCTCACAGGCAAGGCCAGCCGGGTGCTGCCTCGTGGAGCTCTCCTAGCGAGGCACTGGGGTTGGGTGACAGCCTCGCTCTCTCCATCTGTGGAATGGGGTAACCATGTCAGAAGGGGAAAGAGGGCAACAAATGCGGTGGGGAGCTGGCACCTGAGCCAGTGCAAGAGGGAAGCAAGTGGACTCCGGGGCGAACTCCAGGCAGGCTCTCACACCCTCCCATCCCTGAGCGCAGGGCCTCCTTGCACCCTGGGCCCTGCTGCGCCACTCCGGGTCGCCCCGTGCACAGCGAGTCTGGCTAATACACTCCTTGCCCTCCTTACCAGTTTAAAGACAGGATATCATAATGAGGTCGTGGTTTCTAGGATCATCCATCATTTATGCCATCACAGTCAAGGGGTCCGATAGCAAACATCCATCACCAAGTGTCCCTAAAACACCTGGCAAGATTTTGACAATCGCCCCCGCCCCTGGACTCGGGGCCTCCCATCCCAGGGCCCAGGGCTGGGTTAAGAAGAAGGGCTGGATTCAGTCCCCTGTGACCCCCGGTGTACGAAGCAGCCTACACCACCGTCCTCGCCACAGGACGGAGTGGGTCTGCTCCCATTGTTTGGGCTGGTTCTACGGGGTGCGCCAAGCTGGCCGTGGGGGCATCGCCTTTCCCTGGGCGGGCGGAGGGCCCGTGGTTTGCCTGCATTCCATTGCATTGATCGAAGGTGTTTCCTGTTTACCCGGTGACTAATTCTGCCACCGATCCACCCTTCCATACCCTCCCCTTGCACTCCACAGTCCTTTAGCTGCCTCCTGGTGAGGAACTTTCAAAAAAAGCTCTTTCTCCATTGTTAATCGGTAACCAGAGCAAGGAGGCAAGGGCATCACGCAGGGGAGCCGAAGGGAAAATTTCCAGGGCAGCGTCGAGGGTGACAAATGTATTCATAGACCAGAACAGAGCTAAAGAGATCGCAGCATTACTAAGAGAAGTAAATACTATTAGTAATAAGTAATACCACCTCTACTGTGCTAAATACTTACATCTATCAGTGCCCACTCCGTCTTGCACTCCTCACTTTGTGCCACACCGTACTCCTTGATTAGTTATAATTTTAATTTCCAGGAGCTGGGGATCTAGCTCAGGGGTAGCGCTCTTGCCTAGCATGCATGAGGCCCTGGGTTTAATCCCTGGGGGGGAAAAAATTGCATTGCAAAAACAGATATGCAATAAATATTTATTTTATATTCCACCTTTTTTTACATGTAAGTAATAAAAGTATAGCAAATTTTACAAGATAGAAGAGTCAGTAGAAAGTACAAAAGTAGGGGCTGGGGATTTAGCTCAGTGGCACAGCACCTGCCCGGCAAGCGCAAGGTCATGAGTTCGATTCCCAGGACTGGAAAAAAAAACAACCAAAAAAAAAAAAAAAGAAAGAAAGTGCAAAAGTTAAAAATATGGGCACTAATCCCATTAGCCAGGGCCCCACCCTTACAATCTCATCTCACCTTCATTGGTTCCTTACTGGCCCTACCTACAAACACAGTAGCCTATCAGGGGTCAGGGCTTCACCATAAGAATTTGAAGGCGGTGGCATCACCTTAGGTAGGACCCTAAGCTTCCCGGATGCAGGTTCTACACCTAAGGACACAGATGGGGACAATAAGAACGTCTGCTCCCATGTTCTGGTGAGGATCTGGCAAATTAACACAGGGAAGTACAGAGCAAGGCGCAGTGCAGCCACTACAGAGACCCCAGGAGTTGTCTGACAGTCAGCCCTCTACATTGGAGGGCTTTGCCCGGTAGATTCAACCCACTGTAGGTAGACAACACTGTTTAAAATTGAAGCCCTTTGGTTGAAAATGTTGTATTAAAATATAGCCTTTTCCCTGCCCTCCTTCCCTAAGCAACACAGTGTCACATCCATTTGCACGGCACACATATTCCAGTTAGTATTAAAGGTAATCTAGAGATTTAAAGTAGGCAGGAGGATGTGGATAGAATGTATGCAATACTACTCCACTTTATATGAGGGCCGTGAGCATCCCCTGACGCTGGCGTCCACAGGAGTCCTGAGACCACCTCCCTGCCCCCTACCACATGCCGGAGGACAACGTACTCACAGTAACAGCTGAGCTCTGCCCCCCAGCCTCTGTGCCCCTGCCAGGCGACTGAGTCCTTTAGCCCTCCCTGGAGCCCTGTGATGATGGTGATGCACTGTGAGCGCCCGCGCCTTCACGGATGAGGAGTCGAGGCTTCTGCCCGAGCAATGGGCCAGAGCCCCCGCAGGTCCCCTACGACACTGCTCTTAGATGCTTTGCTATCCAGCTTTCCAGAAATGCAAAGCCCAGTGTCCCCCTGGGCCATACATATGATATGGGGAGGAAAATAAATCCAGTCCCTTGAGCAGGTGCCTCAAACTCAACAGTAGTGACACCTAGGGACAAGTCACTCTTTGTTATGGGGGAGGGTGTGTCCTGGGCGCTGTAGGGTGTTTGGCAACATCCCCAGCTTCCACTCACTGGATGGCAATGGTGACCCTGCAACTCTCAGATGTGACCATCAAAGACGTCGCCAAGCATTTCCAAACCTCCCCTGGGTGCCTGACTCACCCCCAGTTCAAGAAAATTGCCCTGAAGTTACTGAAAGAGAAAAACAAAGCTAACATGTTTCCAAACAGAAGTTCAGTGTAATGTTACTCAACAAGGGATAGGACAAGGGCGAAACAAAAGAAATACAGTCCTAGCCTGGCCTGGTGGCTCACGTCTGTAATCTCAACATTCAGGGAGGGTTGCGGGGGGGGGCATTGGATGAGGCAGGAGGATCGTTGAGAGTCGGAGACCAACCTGGGCTACCAAGTGAGCTCAAGGCCAGCCTGAACTGCATGGTGAGACTCTCTCTCAAAAAGTCTGAAAAAAAG